AGTGGTTTAAACCATCTTGTCATTTGCTGTGTGCTGTGAGTGTCATTAAGGCATTTTTGAGTAGCTGAAATACTTCAAGTTGAAACTTTGACTTGTTTCTGATGATGTGTTCAGCAATACATCCCTGCCATTGGCAGAATTTGATTGTTCCATAAAACTATTGTGTGTATTTTATTTCTAGGCCAAAGCCATTGCATGAAATTCCAGCCTTCTATTGCCCTGACAAGAACAAAGTGAATTTCATTCCGAAAAGTGGCTCTGCTTTCTGTCTTGTCAGCATCCTCAAGCCACTTCTTCCCACACAGGATCTCACACTTAAGGGCACTACACACAGCCTGACTGTCTCCTCCAGCATGACGCCTGGCTTGTTACAGCCCATTTCTATGGCCTCCTTGACTACAAACACAGATCAAGACAGGATCTCTCGTGGAACAAGTACAGTAATACCACAGACCTCTCTGCTCCAGCAGCCAGGATGTATTGAGGAAGCTGAAGAATAATTTAGATTGTCTTGACGTTTTTCTGGGCAACTACTGGGAAAAAAATGGAACTAGTTGACCGGACCTTTCTGATCACACACACATGTTGTTTTAACAATTTATGGCACTGCCAAAATCAAACTGTTTATATAATTGACAGTTTGGTAGCACATTGGGAAGTTCAGGAGATGCAGCAGCTGATATGCTGTGTACTTTCTGCTTTTGAAGACTGGTTCTGTTTCTTGTCTGCATTTTTTAAACACTGGTGAAAACAAAGACTATCATAATCCTTTCCCATTTAAAGGACCAGTTGTTGTGATGGTTTGTGTCCTCTGACTTTTTCTTTCCCATTAAAACAAGTCTCAAGACCAGCCAGCTGATCCCATTTACCATTGTGATCTGCAGAGGGAGGGGCAATCAGATGGTTTTGCAAGATGTCTTTTGTATGAAAATGTGTATTTTGTAACAAAGTTTTGCCTTTCTGGTTTGTAGCAGATGGTGTTTCCTGGTGATGATCCCCCTACTCTTTTTTTTTTTTTTTTTTTCCTTTGGTAGGGAAGGTTCTTTTATACTTGGCTGGCTACAGCTGATGGGACCAAAGGATTGCTGAACTATTGCAGCAGTCTCAAATTATGTGACCTTGCTGAACAGCCTCAGACCTAAAAAAAGCAAAACAAGTTAATACGTTTGAAACTTTTAAAACAGAAGAGTATGCAAAAACAGTGTTAGTATATAGTGTACATTTTTTTGATATCAAAAATTTTGTGCTTCTGGTAAGTCACATTCTTAAAATTCTTTCCTTCACAGAATTCCTACTAGTGTTGGTTTATTGGCTGGAAAATTGCATTTTAAAGCACTTGCCCTATTTGTCTGTAAAATTTCTGTGCAGATGTAGGGAAAAAGCATATTATCCTCTTACTCAGTATTCTTTCTTCCAGAAAATACTTGGCTCTTACAGGCTTGCTTAGATCCTTATGAGTCAGCCTGAAACATTAATCACTCTTGGTACAAATTTGCCGTGACATGACTCATCACTGTATTATAGACCCTGGCCACATAATACTGAAATATCTGTGCATGGTTTCCTCCCTTTTGTCATAGTGGTGTTTGTGTGTCTCTTGAAGGTGATGGTTTGTCAGGCATGATATCTGTTATGCAGAAGTTTACAGCAGCAGATATGTTCTCTCTTTTTGACTAGCACCTTAGGCTGGCATGTAAAACAGAGGATTTTTTTTGATACTTGGTTTGTCCTGATAATGTGGCAGTTAATAGTTGCTTTGACATTCAAATGAAAGGCAAAAATGGGGGGTGGAGGGGGGCAGAAGGCAACTGCAAACAGAAACTATTCAGGAACTTCACTGAGGTTTCTCATGTGTTCCTGTAGTGCATTACTTGGGTTTGAGTTAATACAATTATAGATACACAGAAAACTGCAATGACCTGAATACCAGTGTCATAGTTGCTTATAAAACACGTTGATCTTGTACCTCTTTAACAGAGTTAGATTCAGTAATTTCAAAGTAAGTGTCATTGTGGGCAGTCTCTGGGTCTAAATATTGGTCTATTACACACAAGCGGGTCTCACTGCTTGTATATACACAACTTCCATCGACATAGTTTCCATGGATCAGTTGTATTCTCAGGTCTCCTCATAATGGCAACTATTTAAAGGTGATACTGCAAATATAAGTCTTGTGCAGTGCTTAATATGATGAATTTGCTTGCAAACATTTTGATTTAAAGAAAAAACTCAGCATATATGTGCTGATAATAATCATAATTTGATGCATATTTGCTCTTCCTTTAAGTTCTGTATTAGTAACTATGATTGCAGTGTACTTCATTCAGCAAGTGTAAATCATGCTAGAATGTACAAGTTCTCAATTTATAGTAGTTTTAAAACATTATGCAAAAAAAAAAAAAAAACCCAGTAAATTAAAACTGTACCAGCAGGTATGAAAGTATTTCACCTGTTATATTAGCAGACAGGCATAATTTGGCTTACTACCTTCCCATGAAAATGGACAGGATTGTTTTGAAGTAACAGTTTTGATTTGCACTGACATTGTCAGTCACCTGGAGTTGCTGAGGAGCAGAGCTTTAAAAATAAGCAGCTTTATGCATCAAATTTGTGTAATTTTGCCAGCTGATAGTTCTTTTATAGGCTTTGTGGATATTAATTTGTTTCTTCTGAAACACTACAGTGCAATTTGAAGTCTAAAATTTACTGCTTTAGATAGGTTTGTTTAAACCTGGTGTGACTGAATCCACATCATATTCAGGCGAAGGAAGTGCTTTTAAGTCTTATTTTCTATTTCTGTAACAGTAGCATGTAAAGAACTTCATTGTTGCCAAACTGCCTAGTACTTTGTTAGGAGATCTTAACGGAATGGTTAAGAAGCCATTAAAAAGGGCTAAAGTTAACAAATAGCCTTTATTACAGCCTTGACACTTAACTGACTTCACCAAAATGCACTCTGATGTTTGTTTCCATCACATTGTGTACTCTCCCAAACAGCAGTGAGCTTTCTTACTGTAGGACTTTCTTTTGCACCTGTTGTTGTAGGACTCGAGTATCTCTCTGGTAGTTTACCTTGTATGTTATTGGACAATGTACTGTACAAATTAGTGAGCTGCTCTGATAAAAACCAAATGTAAATGTGTGAAGTTTTTGCTTTTTATAAAAGAACTGCATTCAGGACAACATTCAGTCTTTTTTATATGCAGGACAACTCTACTATTGCTATGGCAGCTCAAGTTTATGAATCCACACTAAAGACTCAGAGTTAAGAAAATATGTCAACTCTTGTTCTGAGACCAGCTTTGATGTGTGCAGACAAAAATTAGCCTTAAATTTTTTATGTGCTGTCTTGTGCCATAGCATAGCTGTTAGCTTAAGTATTTAAATCGATTTGCAAATAGCTTTGAGAATGCATGGAGCTTTTTAAAAACTCTTTTATGTATAGGGTGGGATATTCATTTTTGGAGGGAGCTGCCCTGTGCATTACACAAGCACCGTTTTACTGAAAGAGTTCAAATTCTTTTGGCTTACTTAAAATCCTAACTATGCATAGACCTAGTCAGTTCCCCGATTGCCTACTTTGTAGCTTGAGAAAAAGCAAAAGTCTATTTTTATGCACAACTTGATGCATTTGATATTCTTGTTCTCTTGATGTGCTACACTTCTAGCCACACTTAAAGGCTGGTGGTTGTGTTCAATAACACTGACAATTGATTTTGAGATATACTAAATGCTATTACTCCAGTTGTAATTTCTACTTAAATCACAAGGAAGGAGTTCATTGTAACAAAGTCCATGGTCACAGATGTGATAATTAGAATTGTTTTTTCAAAAACTCAAGGCACAGAGGAAGAGGGCTCCTTTGGTAAAGTTTGGCCTGCATCAGCTATTCTTTGCTTGCTTGGTGCCATAATCCTGTAGTATTTAAGTACTTGGAAAAGTAACAGACAGTGCTTAAGTGCATATATCTTGGAAAGAAATTGTTGCTTTCAGGTATGTATCCCAAGTGAGCAAAAAAGAAAAGGGAGTAAAAATTAAATATTGCTTACTGTGGCAGTAAATGATTGCTGTGTTTGGTTTACATAAAGCAATAGCAGCTCTTATAAAGTATGTTTAGTCTCAGGGCTATTTTTTGATTTGTTCTAAAATACAATTTCCTGGAATTCAGTGTCTGAGACTGTTGAAAAACACTGAGGCTGAGCTTTTTGGGAAGAAGGAAACAAAGTCATATCCATTAACCTTTTCCTCTGCCTCAGGCCAAACTTCTTCTTGCTTGTTAAGAGAATTCAGTGGTAGCACAGTAATTCCTTGCTGAAGTATTATCTGTTCTCTCTCCCTGCCATCTCTAAAATGCTGATTGATGTCTTTACAGAAACTCAGTGCCAGTGATGTCCGTAATTCCTTGCTAAATGTTTCCTTGCTGAGTGCTTGACAGCTCCTCCATCAAGCTGAGAGGGCAAAGGAGGATGTGTAGGAAGTCACCAGAGACTTGCAGTTACAGCAGTCATTCCTGCAGGATGACTTCTTGGGTGTCTTGATTTCCATTTGATTTACTGTGTGCAGGCACACAGGTCTGCTGCTTTAATTTGCATGGTTGAAGGCAGAGCTGGTATTTTTGAGAACCTTTTATTATTTTTTTCCTATGTACAGACATGCAAAGCTGTTATCTTCTAGAACTGATGCACGCTTACATGCATCTCCAGAATAAAGCTTGTGTGTTGTTTTTACTTTTCCTCATGAGATTACTATAACCTGCAAGAAAGAAATAAAAGCACCTAAACACACAAGAACATCAGGACTGTACTTTCTCCATATAATTCCATAGTGCAGGTGTGAACCCTTCATCAGATGACTTAGATCCGAGCCAGGTTATTATATGTTAAACCAAAAATGTTCATTTTTAGGAAAGGCAGTAGAAGTTAAGCCCTTCATAACCTAGGGAGGTGAAAAGCACTGGGGAAAGCAATTGATTTTACTGTGATTAAAGTGTTCTTTTAGAATTGTATACCCATATTTGGAAAAATGGGTGTACAGGAAAACAAAGTTACCAATCACTGCAAGATGTACCTGTGTATTTTCTTGATGCGAGTTTGTAAGCATTCAGCATCTCTGAAAATCAGTTCAACTCTTAGTGTTCTGTTTATACAAAGAATGACTTATATACATTATCTGGAAACTGTTACTTTGCATGTCAAGTCGGGGGAGAATGTTAACTACTCACAAGTGTTCTGTGAAATTCCAGTCCTGTACCCCAGCTGAACTACAGCCGGCTCTTTCTGAATGCTCCAAATGGAAATGGAGTCCGGTTACTGCTTGCTTGGTTTCATTGCATGTCATCAGTAAATACTTAAGGTATGGTCTGTGTTTAATAGTTCTTCATTGGGATTTGTATTTGACTACAGAGACTTCTGTAGTGTTGACAGGTCTATAGCAGAAGAGGACTTGGCCTGATAACACTGCAAATTAACATTTATTATACAAACTTTTGGAACAACACTCTTTGGAAAATCTGCTAAGCTAAAGAAAGAAAACAAACCTCATCATCCATCCTAATTGTCAATGTACTGATAGTTAAGAACATAGCTTGGCTTCATTCTAAATTATTTCTTATATTGAAATGTGCAATTTTTGAGAGTAGCAGTCAAGGGATGTTCAAAACTGCCATTAGATTTGCCTTTGTATGAAATTGGCTGACATGTTTTCCTCTGTTACACTGTGATAACTTGTGGAGATGTTCTTGCTTATGTTGTACTGATAGGTTACTTGTTGCATGTAAAGCAATTCTTGTAAGCAAGAGGAATTCCAGGGATGTTCTGTAAAAAAGGGCCTATTCTAAGGTGATGTACACTGTTGTAAAACTGGAGCAGCTCAACTAATTTCAATGGAATTCTTGATTTACACTAGTCTTTTTGCTATGTGTAGTTATGCCAGTACAATTTTGCACAATGTTATTTGAATATTGCGTTCTGACTTGTGAACTGTTTCTACTGAAAACAGTGAAAATTTTACAAACTGCAATAGCGGAATGTTTTTGGCCTTTTTTTTTTCTGTTTTTGCCTAAAATAAAAAGTTGTCACTTCAAACTATGGGCTTATCTTGGATTTATTTTTAGTAGCAGGGGATTTTTGTGTTCGCACAGTCTGGAGATTTACCTAAGCATTTCCCCTGAGGGTAGGGGGCATTTACTACAAATAAAATAAGCATTTTTTAAACCCTTTTGGAAAAAAATCATCAGAATGGAAATATTTGTTTAATTCATACCCTCATTCCTCCAGTGCATCCTGGAGAACAGTCCTGAAAATTCTGCCTTTCCCTGTCTTCGTCTTCAGTAAGTTTGGTCAGTTCCTGAAGACACTACAATTCCACCTTTACGGGAAGGTGCATAAAGTCCTGGGTTTTGGAAACAGAAGGACTCAGCATGTGTTCTCCTGGGAGTGAAATTGTGATAACAGGACTGAGGAAAAGCCCTGGATTCCTGCTGATAGGTTCATTCTGCTGTTCAGTAGAATGCAACTGCTGAAACCTACCTGAGGAGGCTGCTTAGGCTGATTGTTGAAATAGTGCCATATTCTACATCTGTCTGTTTACTCAAAACAAGCATCTTTTTTCATGAGCAGCATTTGGAGCCAAAACTTCTTTAAACTAGAAGTGGTAAACTAGATAAATTATTGGGTTTGGGGTTTTTTGCTAGCTCTTATATTAAATTTAGGTCTAATTTGTCTAAAAAGCTTGGAGCAATTCCCCTTTTGAAAAATCATTGTCAGCTATATTTCATTTCAGAATGGATAGATAGATTTCTTAGAATCTTGAAGAACTGAAGGATTACTAGTGTGTATCCCTCAAGGCAGAGCTAGCTTGTGATTTTTCAGTGGTGGAAAAGTTTGGGACAATAAATATGACATCAACATCAAGTTTCCAATATTGTGCATTTCACAGACAGAGACCATGGGTCAATTTGCATCCAAATAGGAACATGCTTGGCTGAAATATAAAAGAGTAATTTACAGCCAGTGAAGTCTAGAGAATTTAATGCTTTCTCAGATTTTAGTCTCTTGTACTGTTCAGTTGTCTGTGGATGTTTGCCTGTCTCCAGATGAACAGGATCTGGTTCTTTATTAAATAGGCTGTGGCCTCATTCTTTATTAAACTATTTCTTCACTATTGATTACAAATCCAGTATTTCTGTTTTTATGCATGTAAGGATGATTTTACTGTAAATGTCTAGTGTTTAAAATACCTTCACACCTTGCATTACATACAGGAAAACTACCAGACACATTAAGATGCTGATGAAGATCATCTGTGAAGACAAAGAGAATGGAAAGAGCATCTTTGTGGTGAGCAATGACCATCTTCCAATTCTTTATTCACTGTTTTCATAAGCAGTTATGTTCCTCAGTTAAATAGCTGCTCTTTTTTTTTTTTTTTTTTTTTTTCCTTCAGACTATACGAGATAATCAGGCAGGAGACTGCTAGGAGGATTTCTCAGGTATCTCAGTTTTTTCTTGGGGTTAGATCTGACTGCATAGCAAATTACTATAGAAGTTGTAAGCCAAGGCTTCTTGTTTTCATCATATTTGCTTGCTGTACTTTTCCTGGCTCTTCATTCACCATTTGGAAATTGTACAAGATAGTGATCCTGCCCAGACTTCAAAACTTTTGAAGTGCTGCTGTCTAACACTATTTCATCTGTGTTCAGCATTTACAGAAGCACTGTTCATTGCCAGACATGTCCTGGTTAGGTGCTGTGTAGTGCAGACATAAGTTAGAATAGGATGGAGGAGATAATTTAGGTGAAGTTCTCCCACACTTGAAATAGGCTGGATTCATCACTACTGCATGTACTTTTTGTCAAGTCTTACTCCTGCCAAACAAGCCTGATTCATCTCCTCCTGCACTGGCTGTTTATAGAACTCTTGTTTCAAGTAAACTGGGCCATGGCCCTATAACTGATGCTTGCATTGACATAGGAGCATGTCTGTGGTGTCAGTAGCAATTTCACACTGTGGTGACATTGCTTGTAGTAAAGAAAAGATTTAGTAGTAGATTAAAACCTCATTACTGCAAGCAAAGTGGAACACTGTTCATTAATTCCTACACTTAGGAGAATGAGGATGTAACTGCTGTAATTAAGCTGTTGATTAAGAAACTGTTTGCACGGTTTGTTGTGGATGTCTATTCCAACTACAGATGTGTAGCTGACCACTGTAAACACTAATTTCACTGCTGATTGAAATGGCTGTTAGGGAGGTTTCTCTGTTTTCTCCCAGTTGGTGTCCACTGCAAGTAGCTGAACAGTGAGCACTGCCAGAATTAATCTGGTTGTGTGTGTCAGGCAGGCAGCAGGTAAGAATGTGTTCTCTTTGCCCATCATCTTTTCAAATTTCTGAAGTTAATTACAAGTTAGGACAGAACTTGACCTACAACATCTTGTACTGGACAAATTAATAAAGAAGGGTACATCCTGGCCTAGCCCAAATCTTTTGTGCTTTTGCAAGGTTTTAGTCTTTGGAATTGTTCTGCTGTCTGCAACGTCACAGGACCTTCCAAAGCTTTCAAAGTGCCCAGAGAAGCTGTGGATGCCCCATCCCTGGAAGTCTGATTGGACAGGGCTTTGAGCAGCCTTGTCTCATGAAAGGTGTCCTTGCCCACTGCAGGGGGGTTGGAACAAGATGATCTTTAAGGTCCCTTCCAACCAAAGCTGTTACATGATTCTATGAAAAATCAAAATTCATGGCTTTCTCAGGGTTGGGAAATGATACCATCGTCACATCGCTTTTATGTCCCAAATACAGCTTTGCTGTCTCAGGTGTCAATCTTAAGCACGTGGTTTCCTTGAAGATAGAACAATTAAAAAGAATCCTTTGTATGCCCTGGAGTATTTTCCTGGAATTACTATTTGCCTCATAACCCCAGGGATTTTATTTTTGGAAGGCCATGGGATAAAAAATAATTAGCTAGATCTAGTTCCCCCCCGCTTTTTATCCTCTGTGATGCATCACAAACCAAATCTTATGTGCATTGAACCATACCAGCTTAATAGGCTTTCAAACAGCTCCAAAATGTCCCAAACCTAAGGTGTTTGAGACCAATTTTTCTCTTAAAACTCATAGTAGGATCCTTTTAATGCTGTTCTTCTTGGAACTTAAATGTTCACCATCACACCAGATGATGGTATTTGTCTGTAGCAGGATGTTAAACCCATTTGTAATAGTAAAATGAAATGAGTCTGTTTTAAAGACCATTGTAATACAATACTGTCAATATCTGCCCATAGGGTAACTGTCTAAATATTAAGCAGTTCACTGAATATCCAGTGGCATCTGGATTTGAAAGGAGATCCAGATCTGCAAAAATACTGAACCATGTTGATACAGTTATGATACTATTCTGGACAGCTAAGAAAAAAAATATAAGATAATGTTTGTTGTTAAATAAAATAAGACCTTTTTAAATAATAAAATATTTTAATTGACCTCAGGATATATCTGTAGACAAAAAAAGTAATTGAAGTATATTCTTGTCTCAACACACTAGAAGTGCTGACCTAACTTGAATTGATTGGTCCATGCAATGAAGTGGTAGTCACTTCATACACTGAATGCAACTCAAAGACTGTTTTAGATCACCTAGAATTGGGATCCTAATAAAGTACAAGCTTGGTGTTTCTTGCAAGAAGTATTTCATAATCCAATAGAAGGCAATCTGCTTGAAAGTTTTCTCCATCCTTCAGCCTGAGTTCCATTTCATGAGACTGGGTACAGCCGGTGTCAAATGCTATTTGGTAGGAGTGTTTACGTTACTTTTTTCCCCTTCTCTTACTGGCACATTTTCTGGTAGTAGAGGACTTAGAGCATGCAAAGTAAAGAACAAATTCTCTCCCTGAGCCAAAAGTGCTGGCTAACATTGTAGTGTGGTGCTTGCAATGGGAAGTGCCAAGTGTGATTGACCTCTCAAGGAGAGAAAAATGAGTTTGTGGGAGCCTAAAAGATCCACAGGACAAGAGGTCATATTCATTTTTCTATTGCAAATTCAGATGTTGTCACTTTTGCTAAAAACTTCTTGGGAAGCAGTGAATTGGATGTCAACTACAAGATTAAAATGCTATAAAATAGGAGCTATTAGATTCAGTACAAGGCACAGCTGCCCTGTGGTGACTCAGTTATTATAAATTAGTACTTATTCCAGTTGTTTAAATTTTGTCTTTCCTTTGAGCAGCTTAAGGAAATAATGCTCCAGTAGATATTATTAACTGCATCAGCTATTATTCCTTTCTGATTTTATTGTAGTGCTGAACACTACATATTTTACATTACAAAGCATGCTTTACAAGACCTATGATTATTGTAAGAATTAGAGATGGTGGTTCTTACTTTATTTTTTTAGCTGGAGTAGTAATACAGATTTGAGGAACATGAGAACTGTATTTATTGCATACAAGACAATTGCACCTAAATTTCAAAACAAAAAAAAATTTAAGGGATTTACTGGAAAGTCTACAAGAATTCAGTTTAATCTACTCAGTCCAAGCCTATTTCTGATTCTTGTTTTCTTTGTTAAGAAAAAGCAACTTGGCTGAGTACTTTAAAGAGTATGTTTGAAGAGTGTGCATTCAAACTATGAAATTCTAAACCCAATCCTTAATGTATTTTCAGTTTTCTGGCTGATGTCTTCAATGCTGAACAAATCAGGACTTAGTAAGGGATCCAGATTCCCAGAATATTAACCTGATATATTGAGAATTGACTAATTGTATTCTTTCAATTTTCTAATTGCCAAAACACAACAGAATTTTACTTCCTTTAGTTTTCTAGTTGTCTTCTCTCCTGTAAAACTTAGAAATATGTAAAGTAGGACAGTGGAATGTAATGTCTTTATGTGTAAACTTATTCAGATAACTCTATCATAACCTACTTTCAAGATGAAAAATTCATTTCTATAAGTGAAATTTTCATTTGGTTGCTTCTAGATTTCAACTGGCATTTCTTAAATGAGTGCATGTTCTCATTTGAAAGTCCAGGGTCTGTAGAAATTTTTTCATGCTTTGGAGTTACTGATTCTGCAGGTGACATAGAAGTTTGTTGGTCACTATAAGAAGGCAGAGCAAAGCTTTTCCTCTCTGTAGATGTGTTGGGACTTTTGAAGCTGTAGCTGGATTGATTCATCCTAACATTGCATGTGGCTAGTGTATTAATTAGCCAGCTGTTCCTCTCATTTCTGGATTATCATGGACGTGCCTCTGACTGGGAAGCATTGAAAATGTGCACTACTGTCTTAGGCTGGGTGACTCCTGGTCTTTCAAGCTGAAACACTCCCTCCTCCTTTTCCTCTTGCAGAGCTTTGTGTGGAAAATATTAATGTTGTTGTTATCATGTTTCAGTACAGAATGGTTGGGTTTTTCAAATCAGCTAGAGGAGAGGAATGATAGTTGATACAGAATCACAGAGTAAGCTGAGTTGGAAGGGACCATAAGGATCACTGAGTTCAACTCCTGGCCATGCACAGAACCATCCCCAAGAGTCACATTCTGTACCTGACAGCATTGTTCAAATGCTTCCTGAACTCTGTCAGGCTTGGTGCTGAGACCACTTCCCTGGGGAGCCTGTTCCAGTGCCCCGCCACCCTCTGGGTGAAGACCCTTTTTCTAGTATCCAACCTAAACTTCCCCTGACCCAACTTCAGGCCACTCCCTCTGTTCCTGTCACTGGTCACCAGAAGGAAGAGATCAGTGCCTGCCCCTGCTCTTTCCCTCACAAGGAAGTTGTGACTGCAGTGAGGTCTCTCCTCAGCCTCCTCTTCTCCAGACTGAACAGACCAAGTGACCTCAAACCAGTGATGCTTCTGCATATACTTCCAGGTGTTGTCTAGATCAGCCCTAGGGTATATATCTAGGCTGATCTCATGAAAAAGCTCTTCCACCTACCCTCTCTTCGAAGAATAAAAGTAAGAAATGTCAAAAAGTAGTTTTGAGTTCAGGTGTTATAGGCAATTTTTCTTGGTTGTTTTTTTTTTTTTAACCATTTTCTGGGCTTAAATCTGAGAATCATCAAGCTTGGTTATCTACACATTGTTTCTTCATTGAACTTCTGTATTCTGAACTTCTGGAATAACTTCTAAAATAAAAGTAGGCCTGAGATTTTCAGCTCTTTTTCAGTTTTTTTCAGTACTGCTGAAAGGACTGAAAATTAAAGCCAGGAGGCCAGAAGAAATTTTCAAATATGTAGGCATCAGTGGGTCAGCTCCATCATAATTTGTTAAATAGTTATATATGAAAGTTAGATGACAAAGTAGTATTGTTTAAAGGTTACATCATTCTTGCAAAAATTGGGTGTTGTATTTCAGAAAGTTCCTTTAAAAAGGATAGAGAGACATTTGACTTTAAGTCTCCATTGTTTGTAATATCCTCTTTCAGCATGAAAATATTTTCCGTTCCCATCAGTTTTGTCTTCTTTTTTTTTTTTTTTTTGGCAAACATTAATATTTTTCCTGAACTGTGAGTAGAATGAAAAATTGTTATTTTTGTTGGCTTGCAGGCATTGTAGCTTCCCTTCCAATAAGACTGGCAGATTTATTTTTAGAGTTCTTGTCCCAGTACATCTTATACAGTTATTTAATGAAAATAGATTAGACAAGCCTAAGGAATAGGTTTAGTTTAGGTCTTGCTTGCAAGATTTGAGGGTGAGCTGCATGTGACAGAGAATGGGTTCTTTCTGTCTGTGAATAGGCAGTAAGTTTCACTCCATGGTTACACAGCTATCTTCTCAGTGCTCTTGGCTGTCCCCTTTTCCCTCTAATCCAGCTCCAAGGGGACTACTTCTGACATTCCAAACTGCTGAGCAGCTTTCCGACAGCTGCTATTGAAATCTGAATAAAAACAAAACTGTTTTCTTTGCCTTCCTCCCAAAGGGGGATCAGGTGAAAATGGAGCCAATTTCTTGTGTGTGCCAACTCTACCCTAGTGCTCCATCACCAGTGCTGGGGTGCTCACCTCTGATATGCTTCAAGGACAGACTGAGAGTTGGGGTTGCACTTACAGAGGACAAACAATAAGTTCTAAGGGCTGGAGGTGTGAGTCCTGTGTGCAGAGGGGCCTGCTTGGCACTGTGGGTGAGTGGCCCAAGATAACGAGCCATCATTCGTGACCCCATTACCATGGTCCTGGACCTTTAAACTCTAACATTCAATCTGCAGGAAAAGTATCTTAGGTGTTTCAAGGGTTTAAAGATTATAGTCTAAGTGTTAACTTTCCTGTTCCTGGTAATTCAGTTAGCCGGGTAAAATATTAGACACACTGTAAAAAGTGTGTTCAGAACATGAAAAAGAAATAACATGAAAGACTGAAAGTTGAAGAAGATTAGAAATTATCTTTTTTTAGTTGAGGGCTTTTTTTCAAAAATTCTGGGAAGCAGTTATTTCCTTTCTAATGAAACATGTACAGACTGTTTATGATTCTTCTAGAGTGTAGTTTATTTTTTGTGCTTGTTGCTTACTGATATTTCTGGAAATGTCATCTTTCTCCTCTCACATTCTTCACTGGGTTTGCTTAAGGGAGAGTTTTGTAATGGCTAGGAAAAAATCTTTCTTGAGAAAGAAGAAACAAAATGACCTCTTGTTACATCTCTCCAATTTATTGATTCTTCCTGTGCATGATGTGTAATGATGATTTTATGTCAAGTTTCTGCTTGTAGAAATAGTTTCAATAATGTGTTCAGAAACTGTTACAGAAATTCTGGTTGTACTTCATAACATTAGGACTGTTTGTATTTCCTCAGGAAGATGATGCTATGCCAGAATTTTAGTCACACTTAAGAAGATTCCATTTTCTAAGTTACAATGCTGTACAGCCATATACTAATTTCATCAATAATATTTCTTAATTCCATAAAAATAATTTCATAGATGGAATTTTAATAAACAATATGATCAGTGAGATTTAAAAGAGGAAAAAGTGAGGGTGAAGCAGAATAAATGTTCTGCTTTTCTATATACATTGGCAAATGATCATGGGGAATGACCTTGAGTGTGCTGAATTCATCAATCTCCTTTTCTGAAACTTTGTATCTGTAAGAAAGCCTCTCTTAGTATAAAAGAAATTTGCCTCCTTGGCACAGAATTATGCAGATGGGAGTCTACAAGCTATTCCAGGGCTTTGGATTTGAGCTGAGCTAGTTTGTAGAATTACAGGTGAAGAATTCATAGAACTAGTTTAAAGCTGGCTGCTATTTGCATTTTGTTTAACTGTCTGGTTCTACAGTATGTGGATCTCAAACAGTTGGCTTCCTATTCAATTAACTTTAAAAAAAGCGCTTAATCCCAAGATTGAAAAATACAATCCCATTTTATAGCCACTTCTTCTAGCAGCTCTCATGTCCAGGTACTTGTGCAGGTAGCTTTTGGGCAGAAGGATAATTGGAATATTCAGGGGTGAATGAGCACAGAAACTTGGAGGAAGATGAGGAATTATGGCTTAGCTATGTGTTGCTTCCCAGAAGACTGCAGAATTCCTCGTATTTCATTTTTTTAGTTGAAAAAAATTTATAAATACTTAAGTTACATTTGCTCTGTTTCATTGAAAAAGATGAGTAAAATGTGCAAGACTGCAGTTCAGGAGAGGTCATTCCTGCAGGCAGGGAGACAAAGCTGTCAGGTCCATACCTACCATGAGAAGATGCACACTCAAATCATGGGGAATTGGCAAGGGCAGGTGAGCAGGAGGGGTCTGGATAGAACAGATACCTGATAGACTGACAGGAAATGTGACAACAGGTACAGTGACTGCCTTAAAGCAGGTTCACCTTCCAGCCTGCACCCCTTCAGCTTCTCAAACTCAGATTTGGTAGCCTTTCCTTCCATCTGCATCTAAACCTGTGGAAGGTGGAACATGCAAAGGCAAAAGATCAGTCTTTGACTCTTACTGTATTATATTACCTGCAATAGTTCCTGATTAGAGAATCTGTGAATTTAAAACAACTGAGAATGAGTCTCAATCCTATAGATTTTTATCGTTATGAGGCTTTTTGTGCTTATATGATGTAATAATTTCTATTGCACAGAATTGACCATCTATTGCAGAAAAATTTATAAACACTGCATAGTAATTATAACCTCTTCACTTCCTAAAAGTGAAAACTGAGGAGTGAAGGTAATCTTTTACAGTAACCTAGCAGTAGATGTGCAGTTTTGGATTTTATTTTGCAGAATCTTGACTGAGGGGATTGAGGGACACAGACCCATGCAATGCAAGCAAGGCCAGTTTATTACACTAATCACAGTATTTATGATTCTCTAAGTTCTGTACAAAATTCTCCACTCAGACCCCTTTGCCCCTGTTCCCGTAGCAACACAATCTCTTCAGTTACTGAGTCCCCTGCTACATCTTCCACACTGAACTGTGCACTTTGCATGTAATTACACTGTCATCCTGGAGGTGTTTCAGGCAGAAAAGAGAAGTTCTCCTTCACCCTTTTGTTTTCTCAGAAAAAACACTTAAAAGAGTAACTGCTGGAGGGACAGAAGATGGAGGAGAAGCTTTTGAAAGGCAATTGTCTAAATTATTAAGAAAGTCGTTGCAAGGATTCTTTTATGGTGACTTGTTCATGGTGATAAGCACATTCTTCAGTTTTAAAAACAAATATAGAGAACAACAGGGGGTTGTTCTCCAGCCATGAAGGGGATTTGTTTAGTTCTATTTTGTCTGGTGAGCTCACTCTTGAGGTATAATAAATACCTCAGTATGTATTTTAGCTACTGATGACATGTCTTTGCATCCACAAATTCATGGTGAATTTGTTGGCAACCAATACTTCCTGCAGTGTAGATGGTACTTGTATGGATGAGTGAATGTTTATGTTTTGGAATTCTCCATTTTGTTTGCTCTTGTCAGGAATACAGCTTGTAGTATTCATCTTTCATTCACAGCCTTGTTTCTCTCTATCCTGTGCCAGAGGGCATAGAATATTGTAGTTTTATAGCAGAATGTTGGTAGCTCCTGCCGAAGGTGAAACTAAGGCCAACATGAATATAAAAGAAGTATAAATATAAAAATATGCAAGAGCACAAGTGAACAGAATATTTTGAGGACATGTGGGAGAAATGGATTGACTATAACTACAAAATAGTAAAAATTAATATTTTAGTCTTCATGTTTTTCAGCTTTCACACACAGGCTGCCCCTCCACATGGATTGTTTTACCACATGGCAAGAACAATAATAAATGCTAAAGCTAGAAGGTGGTACATAAAGTTGATTTTACCATTCTATGCCCCAAAGTGTAAAAGTACCAGAGATGCATGTTCCATAAATGCAGCTCAGAATTTACAGCAATAACAGGAGCCTGTTTGCCTGCTTGTGGAGAGCTTTGCATCAAAACACTGCAAAAACCAGCTTTACCAATTCTTTAAACTGAAATTCCCAGCATTCTGAATATCAATACATTATCCAGTAATAATGCCTCCTCTGCTCCTGCCAGCTCACAGTAGACAAGTGGGGGAAGGATCTGTTTTTGATAGCAAGGTGTGTCTCTACCTGCCCAGCAGTTGCATGGAACTTCCCTTCAGTCTGTTGAAGAAGATGTCTGAGAACAGCTGGAGTGTGACCCACAGCTGTTGCTGTTGCTGCCTGGCCCTGGAGCAGTGAGCTCCCTGCCCCGGGACCGCACAGCGCTGTGCCGTGCCAGCCTGTTGGGCTGGGCTTTGGCCTTGGTGCATCTCTGGTGGGTTTGTATTAGCCACAGGTCTGAGGTGCTTGTGTAGCCCAGTCTGAACAGGAGAAGGATGTGTGGGGAGGACACAGAGCAGGCACTCGGCCTGAGCTGGGGAAGAGAGGGGCAGGGCTCCCATTTATCACCAGATCTTTGCCGCCTTGTACTTGACAGACATCGGAGTTTAGCAAAGTGCTTTTCTCTTCATGTATGAAATGGCTTCTGCTTTTGCCATGTGCCTCTCCAAACACCTCTGCACCCTGTACTTGCAATGATACCTTCATATGAATTAACAGCAGTGCATTCAACTGAATGAATGGGGACTATTAAAAACATAAAATTGAAAACCTTGCCCTTGACATGTGTCCTTTTTTTCCAGATTCTGCCTGAGACTTTCACAAGAGCTCTACCTTATTTTCTTCTTCAGATACTGATATTAAAAAAAGAAATTGAAAAATAAAATGTGTGGCAATTCCAATTTATTAAAAATTTTTATCATGAGAACTCTGAGGGTGGCAGCACATTGTTCCAAACTGCTAAGGTGCGGATTTTGACAGCGTCTGCAGTTAGATGTGGGATACCTAAGGGTGGGGAAAGAATGAAATAAAAAATAAGTCACTGCTGTACATGTCAGATTTCATATGGAGCAATGGTGACACAATGGGCATTGGGAAGAAAACATGTTTAAGGGATATATAGGCATGCTACAAAGGAAGATAAATGTAAATATTTTACTGTATTATTAAACATAATAATGTTTCTACTAAAATGTCTCTAGCTCAACACAGGGATTTAAGATGTTCCCAGTAATGTTTCCAGGAATTTTATAAGGTAAATTTTCTGTTCTTTTTCTTGTGACTTACAGAAGCTTATAAAAAATTGTAATATCTAAGTAGATTTATATGTAAATTATAGTATATATCTAAATAATTCCCAAAATAACACAAAATGCAAAAAGTTAAAAATAAATGAGAAACCACTTGTGTATATGATTTTATATGTATATTATTGAGCATTTTAGACAATTTTGATTAACATTTTTGAAATGCTTATTGAAAACAGCAGTTTAAAAGGCTATGTAGTTGTAATGTAACTTTAAATACTAGTTTCCAACCCATTTCCCATTAATATTTTTAAAATATCTGATTTTACTATCCCAAGGTGGTTTTGATGGCGTTTTTTTTTTTTTTAGGATTAAGACGTAAAGGTGCAGTGGAGGGGGAATTTCTTTTCCACAATCTTTCCACGTTAGTTGTCATTTTACACTGTATGATTAATAAAGACTAGCACATGAACAATGACATATTATGCTGGCATTTAATTTTTTAATTGGAAAGAGAAAATCTTTTTAGTCCATAATTACTGTTTTTCAGTATAATGTGCTATTGAAGTTTGCAAGCATTATAAAATTCTTTCTTCATTACAATCACAGCTTTGCTAATAGACCCTGCAAAGTATAATTAGATTGAATATTTAACAGAGGACTTTTTATTCTTTTAGTTGTGAAAATGCAGCATTAATGTATTTTTTAATGAAATCTCAAACCTTATCTCTGTGGTAAATCCCAAGCAGTGACTCCCTCAGGAGACCATAAATGTTTTAATGTGCCCTGACTTTATATACTATATAAATATATATCTAGAGACGTATAGATATTGTATATCCCTACTGTTACATATTCAGTCCTTATTTAAATAGCAAGAATACTAAAAAAGGAGAAAAGAAAAACCTGAAACTAGGAGAAGCTTTTTGATGTATATTGTACCATAAAGTCTCTATCAGTATATTACTGCTCAGTAGTAGATATCTGTACAGGCCATTTGAATGGAAGAACATTAAAAAAAGAACACTTTTTAGAAGGAAATGGTTGATTTATATTTTGTGGACATAATCAGTTCAACTGTTAATTATATAAGCATGTAAATAAGCAGTATGAATGTACTACTAGAAATTTTAAAATATAGAAGTATTGTTTTATCTCATAGCAATCAAGCTTCCCAGCAACGTGAAGAACAGAAACAAGAGTGGAACTTAACTCCTGACGAGTTCTGAGTGCTATGTGTAGACAGTTTATGAAGTGCAACCAAGACAAAAGTCTCAGAAGGCTGATGATCCAAACCCAGAGTAATTATGAGCACAGACAGGAGGGAGGATCACCTCCTGGGGAATGGGGGGTGGCTTCAGCCACAGGTGTGCAGATGTCTGACTGCAGGCAGTGCTCCCCCAGGGCCCTGCTGGTGGTGTAAGACTGAGGTCAGCAGCCAGGGCTGCCTCAGAGCATCAGCTGTGCTTCCTTGTAACCCACCCTGCTCTTCTGTGCTCAGGAGTTCCTCTCAGGGTGGGGGAAACTAACAGCACAGGCATCCAGAGTAAATGTCTCTGACAAAAAGGTGTGTCAAAGGTAAATACTGCCTGCTGCCGTGGCCCTGCTGTCACAAGGGACTTAGAAATGTGTAAGAGAACATGGCATTGGGGGCCCAGAGTGTCTGCTATTCTGGAGTGTTAGCCTAAAGGTCTGTTTAAAAAGAGGAAGGTTTTCCCTTCTTGATCCTGTGAGGAATAAGAAACTTGATACTTTGCTTATAAAACAGGGAGTGGATAGCAAAATAAGAGTAAATGGCAAGATACTGCTGCAGAGGGAAATGAAAAAAGTTTGTTTCTCTCCAACTTTTTAAAAATAGCAGCCCTACAAACTGTTGTATCACAAATTATAGAAAATAAATACAGAAGGATGGTAGGAAATGGCAAAAGCTATACTTGAGCTAGCTAAGCAAAATTATTACCTTCTAATATGTCAGCCAAGATATAAGAGACTACAATTGAGACATCCCAAAAGTGAAAATATTTTTCAGTTGTTGCACAAAAATATTTTTCAGTATACTGCAGCAGGCTTAGAAAATATTAGAAACAGAGATTTCTTTCATTAAGACAGACTTCTCTGGTATGTAGTATAATGTTATTATTCTCAATGATCTGGTTAGATTTGTCTCATAATCCTCTGTTTGCATGTAGCAAACAATACCTATAGATACTGCAGAGGTTCAGAGCTCTGTGTGGTGGGATGGTGCGCAGCTTGGAAACTGTTCTCCTGGCAAAAGTCATGGCTGCTTTTCAACAGGACCATTTGGACTTGATCTTTGAATTACAGCAGCCTAGAGGCTGGAAAGCTGAAATAGGACAACTGTAGTCTCCTCATCTTCTCGTCTTTGGTGAGTTTGTGCTGGATTCTGTGGCACAGTACTGTACTAAAACAGCTGTTGTTTTGATTCCTCTGTTTAAATAGATTGGATTAGAAGGGGAGAAAAATCATCATCTCCACCCCCTCACCATTCTGCCCAAAGCTTAGCTACTATGAAGACTAATCTTATTTGTTTCCTGTCAGAAAAGGCTTCACTGACATGGAGTATTTGATTTTTTGGAGGCTGGTTCTGATACAGTTTTCAGCTACGTTAAGATACAAGATCTAATTATTGTAAATTGCATGCAGGTAGGCTGCATGTAAGCTCCTCTCTAAATCTGTATTAATGCCATTGATTTGGGTAGGTTTCACTGTATTAACTGAGGTGCTCTGGAATTAGAGCAGGTTAGCTGAAATAAGGATCTGTTTAAATTTGTGCTGTTAGGTCTAGGAAACACTTTGTTTAGCATTGCAGCTGCAGGAGATAAGTACTGTTTTCTGAAAAGCAACAGAGAATATCCATTGAAGTTGCCTGTATACTCTTAAACCTAAAGGCAAAACATGTTGATTGTTAAATCCATTATTCTCTCATATCCTATGCTTATATCAAGAAGACCATTTACATGTTGATGTAACATGGAAACAAGATCTTTTGTGTAACATTAAAAGTATTCTTGATTTCTACTCTAAGTATTAAAAACCTACTGCCAGTGAATTCTAACACCTCATCCTATGCTCAGAATCCACCGAAATAACAAACTAGGAAACTGAGATCTGAGAGATAAGATTTCTCCAGTGGATCTCAGGGAAATTCTATAATTTTTTTTTTTTTTAAGATCAAAATGTTTTTGCAAAGTTGCACAAACCTTTGCACACTTGGGCTAAAGCTTATGCAAAGCCTGAGAGGAAGAGAATGGGAGAGAGATGGAAAATTGTGTTCTTTAAATTAGAAAACAAATTAGTGGCATTTAACAGGGAACATTAGAAAACAAGTTTGTTGTAAATCCCAAGCATCATAGTATGAACACTTCCCACTAATGCACACCCATGCCACACCTTTCAGACTTTGGTTCAGTCCATGTTTTGAGCAGATGGCTCTGGGTGTCCACATCCACTGCTCAATCAGCAGTGTGCCTAAGGCTTGGAATGACACCAATAAGGAATTTATGTCATCTGGTAGCCTTTAATGCTGCAAGTATTTTTAAAAAGGAGAGTGTAGCTTACTTGGTGTTATAATGCTCCTGAGCCCTGAGCAAGTCCACATAACAAAGAATTCTCAGCCTGGCTGCCGGACTCTGTGGTAACACTTCAGTTACTGAAGCAAACTCAAACCAGGTGAGCTGTTCCACCAAATGTGTGTGCAGGGATGTGTGCACAGATATGGTGGTGACACCACTGAGAGGGGAAAATAGCTAAAGATTGCCTTCCTCTCTGGTACTGAACAGCTGCAGAGAACAACAATGTCATTCTAACACTTGATGCCATTTTTTGAGCTTTTCAAATGATACAGGCAACTGAGGGTGCCCTGTTGAAAGTAACTAGTACTTGTTATTGGCTGGGAAAATGAGCCATTTTCATGTATTCATATTTCAACTATTAATTCATACTGACTCACCTCATGGTCCATAGGTTTATCACTAATTTGGCATCCAGCTCTGCATCAGATGTTACCACATAATCATCTTCATTCTTCGGTGAATGAATCAATTCCCAGTATTTCTTCTGTGCTTTGTCAGCTATTTTTTTGACCTGTCTTGGGAGCAGAAATCCATGAGATTTCTAATTGTGCATGTGTATATAACAGACTTAAATAGTTTTCAATAACTGGGATAGAGAGAGTTAAATTAGAGGAATGAATTCACTGAGCATTTCCTGAAGGCTCTTCCAAGGGATTTCATCTGTCTTTCACATGCAGTTTAGAACAGCTGTGGTCTGACTGAAGATCAGAACTTCCCTATTCTAAATTTATAGACCACAGAAGTAGGAAATGTGATGGGGGGAACTTTTGGATAAGCAATATAGATTACTGGGATGTTTTGCTATAGCTAGCCTATCGTGTTTCTCCATACAGCTTTTTGTGAGTTCTGGTTCGCATTCAAAGGTAATTTCAAACTTTTAAGAAATTTCTTTGCTTGAATTATACATTATAGGCTGAAAGTGTAAGTACTAATCACAGAGCATTTATTTCAATGTTTATTTAGCTGCACAGTGTTTTTCTACTGAGATCCCCTGTTGGTCACAGGCTGCTAGTTTTCCAATAGATTGCAAAGACATGGAAAATCAACATTTTGAAGTTTCAAGTATGAATATTGAAATTGCTACAGAAATTTACATTTTTGTGGTTTGAGTTATGTTTTCAGCATTCCCTACAGTAAATGTCTTGATTTGGATGGCTTGATAGACTCATCCAGACTGAGCAGCTGTCTTTCCTAGACCAGACTTAGCCAACTTCTCACTGGCAGCTGAAAAGCCACTTATTTAATGCAATTTACAGGGCAATTTAAATTGGTTTTTATGACAACTAATTTCAACCCAAGTTTTGCCTGTAATTTGAGATCTCTGCCAATGAACTTACATCAAACAAAATCGTTGATTCACACTTGATGGGACATTTTTGGCATATAAATTGCAATGTAAGCTACTACAATTTGTCATTAGCCAATGAAGTATCTATGCAGGTCACTGTAGCCTTGTGCTTCTCAAATTCAAGCAGGGTGTTAATCCATAAACTGCATTTACCCCTGTACTGAGGTGTGTCAGGGCCAGCTTGGCAGTCCCATTGTCATACAGAGTAGAATTCTGAAGTCTGTTGACCTAGTTCTCATTAAGTTTTATTCTGATAAAACCTTTTGCCTTCCCCACAGCAAGGGAAAAGAGCACATGCTGAAATTTCAGAGAGGTCATTAAGCAGATCAGCCTAAATCACATCTACTGCTCGTTTGGGACTTTTGTTTCTTCTTGTTTGGAGGAGTTGTTTGCTTTTTTTAGGAATCATGTTTATCATCACACAATTTTGAAGATAATTTGTACCCTCCATTAATTCAGTAATGAAAAAACCTTTTAAAATTGTGCAATTCTTCAAGTTAGATCCACATTTAATAAGACTTAAATCAACACAGGAGTGGAACAAAAGTGTGTTTTTCCTTTGAGGAATTTGTGCATATGCCTATCTTGTGCTTTCTGTTGCAGAAATGTCAGAAAATTCAGGAGAAAAGCTCACATCCTAGGAATTTTCATGAGAAGTGTATTCTTTTAACTTTGCGCTTCCTTCCAATCTTGGTGAAACACTTTTGTTTAAATTGCAAAAGTCACTTTAAGCATGTGTAGTGAGTTCTGTTTCCTAAGGTATGCATGCTAAAATCTAGAGGAGTATGTTGTTTATCCTGGAAATTTATCAGCCTGTAAAAAAACCAATCAAAACTTCAGGAAGTTTATCTTCACTAAGGACAAACCTGACCCCAGGCTCTGGACTGTGGGTTGAAAGGGACAGGCAGAGCAGTGCTGGCTGGAGATCTACATTGTTGGCCCAAACCTTTATGTCCACATTATCCACACACACCCATTCAGGTTGTGTGTCACTGGAATGACACTTAATGTTTCCTTCCCCCTTCCCTTTTTTTTAATTCAATCTCCCAGTTGGGAGAAGACTGAGAGTAAAAAAACTAACTAAATGCCAACAAGAGAGAAAAAACAGTGCTCTGCCAGGGCTGGCTGTAGGGAAGGGATGGCAGCCATCCAGAAGCAAAGATGAAATTCTCAAAGAAAAAAGAAAGCTGAAAGAACAAGCTGGGAAAAAGGAAACACATGAACAGAAAATGCAAATGTGACACTAAGCCAGGGACCAAGCAGGTGAAAAACCCTGTCTCAAACTAATGCTTTTAATGTGTCAGTGCATGGTGGTGTTTGAACTGTATTTAGAGGCAGCCCATGTGCGCTGGTGGACAGTTTATGCCAGGTGTCAGTGCAGAATGAAAAGACAGAACAATGTGTATTGCACAGCCTCTCAAAAATAAACCAACCCCCACCTACCATCGATAAAAAAACAAAAGTAGGTCAATCTTGCAATAGCTGATTGTTGTCTTTATTCCCTTCACTATGTTTAAGCAAAATTGGCAATTAGAACATAAAAATTCTTTGCTGTTTTGTATTATGCTGCTAGGGCACTACGAATATGCAGAAACGGTTTTTAGGGGAGGAAAAAAGTATTTTTTTTGTGAGTAGTCACCATCAGCACCTTGATTCTGGATTATCATGTTTTTGACTCAGTTCTTCTGCAATTTTAAAATCAACTCATGTTGATCCTTGTAATTTCACATGATTGTTTTAAACAGAAGGACTGCATGTCCAAAAGGAAAGTCTTATTAAAACATTTTATCTAAGATTACAGGTTATCCAAAGAACTGTCAGCCAAATGTAAAAAGTATTAGTTTCAGGATAATTTATGGACAGTGGTAATACAGATATATTAAAAAATACATTGTAATTACACTGGTATCACTTCATGTTAATATGGTTTACTTAGTTCCTTCTTTGTCTGTTCCTTTGCCACAGTACTTTTCCAGACCAGAGGAGGGTATAAAAATGCTCCTGGCTTTTTCACTGTGGTCTATCAAAACCTACTTTTTTAGATACATTCTGTGTATTTTTTTACAGGTGATAGTAGATGTGATGGATTCGCTGAAACTAAAACAGCTAATGCCACTGGGTTCGCTTGAGTCTAAATATTAGTCTAAGATAACTGACACTTCAGGTAATATGAGCTTTTTTAAAAAGTGTTTTGTGAATTTTCTGGGAAGGCAAGAAAACCATATTAAGCTTACTTGCCTTGCTTTCATGAGTCTTTAGACATAGGCATAGAAGTTGTTAGTTGCAGTACTTCACTTGCAAAGCAAAGGGATCAGAGATTCTTCCCGTCCTTTGCCATTTTCACCAGTTTTACTCTTTGATATGTCTTAGCACTCCTTTCTCAGAACTATACATGTAGTATATATAGTCTATATATAATGATATATGTATATATGTCTATATTATAAACCTGGAGGTCAGAGTTCCCACTCTTCAAAGAAAAATCATTAATTTAAGCATTTGACTTGTTATTGTACAGCTGTTACACTGAAAGCCAAGACACAGGTGGGGATATTCACGTGTGGTCTCCACACAGTTTAACAGTGTGCTGGTTGAACATCACATGTCTGTAATCTAACAAGCTGCAGCACAGCTTTTTCATTTGAATGCTGAACTCAAAGCAAAACAACCAGCAGAGAAATTGAGCGTGTTTGAATAGTGCTTATCCTCTATCAACCTAAAAGCTATTGCAACTTTTTGTATCTGTTCTTTTTAAGAACAAATTACTTCTACTTCTGCCTTCTCTGTGTGATCCACCATTGTTTATACACATCTTTAGGTCCAGGACACCACATTAGTGGTACTGCAGCACAAGTACTGTGGTGCAAGGCTGGCATTCCTATAATCTACAACCCTAATTTATGAGCTACTAAAATATGGCATATTTCATCTGCCAGAAAATCTGTCAAGTTCCTGTATATCATGCTATTTATACTGCACACATACCAAGTACTCATCCTAGAAAGAAGCCTGGGTTCTTAATTAAGGACCAGATCATAAGAACTGCCAACAGCCAGACTGAGAGGAGAGCTGAAATGTCTTTATCATCAGTAATGACGCACTAAACCAATGAACTGTTGATAAAAGCTTTATTTTTTCCCCAACATAAAGCAGGTAAACTCAAAAAATAATTTAGTCAGTGAGTAGTTTTTCTGTAAGTATCAGCAAACAGTTTACTTCTTATTAAAAAGGCTATACAAATAGTAATTTAAAAGATGTTAATTCAGAGCCATCAAAAAGGGAGGAAATGACCTTTACTTTGTTTCACATGAATCCCATTTGGGCTTTGCTATTTTTCTGTGACAAATATGGATATTGCTTACCAATACAAAACCAGGAACAGCTCTCTGAGCAACAAACTCCTCCTTTCTTCAGAAGTTGTGTAGAGATGCTAATAGAGAGCAACTGCTGCAAAAATCTTTGTTTTTAAAAAAAAATCTTCTGGCTGTTGACCTTCATGCCCCAACATCAGAGGCTGTAGCTGGATATCTGTAGCAATACAGTTTGTTGTCTGCTCCTCCACTCAGTAACAACTGATGAGAGAAGGAAACTGTGATTAGTATCAGAACTAAGCAAACTAAGTACACAGAAGTTAAGGACTCAATTTTTCTTTCCTTTATAAAAAGCAGTAGTGAATAATGAACTGTTAATGCATGACTAAAACCCAGAATCAAAGTGCTGAAGCAACTTTGTCTCTTACTCTCCTCTTAAAATTAGAAGTGAAACTTGTATAGGAAAGCTGCTAAAGCTTTTTCTGACTTCTACAGTGAACAGGAGCCACAGTGAGAATCTTGAACATTCACAGAATGGGGTTTTTTTGGTAATTTTAAATACGTGTGTACCACTGCAGTAGCAGAACCGCTTGCTATAGAGGATTATACAGTTTCCCCTCCTACATGCACTGACTGCCATGCCCCAGCTTTACTTCATGCTTTAGTCCCAGTGGCAGAGGTTACCGTGGAACATGTGTTTTGTGGGTAAGGTGCAGGGCTGTTCTTGTCTCTCCTTGTTTGGAATATCACTACAATGCTCAGTTAAAGCCACAGAGCTACTGCTCCCACCCTTCCCCTTTGCAGAGTGTGGGGACATGCTGCAGTGCCTGGGACATCACCACCCAGACATCAAACACAGCACACCTACAACTGCCTGTTCTCTTCCAGCTTTAAGCATAAGGAGGTAACAGCCCATGACCGCTTTCAGCTCTTTTCTTAAACACTATGCATATAAATCAAGTAACTTGCTCTTCAAATTCTTACCCCTGCTTCTGTCCAGTCCACACACAAAACCTTGTCTTCATGAGCAGCCAAGTCATACAGAGGAGCTTTGCAACTAGTGAAAAACAGGTTTGAAGCTATGTGAGCAATCACAGACAACAACTGGTCCCAGGGAGAAATGCTATCCCAATGCTATCAAACAGATGTGGCCAAGCAATTATAAACACACTGAGAGAGCACAGACATTGACCATCTGTGATGCTTCCTCTGCTTTCCCCAGAGCCAATCACTTCAGTATTATCCTCTCCTGCATCCCCAAAGAGGAAAGCATCAGGATTTTTCATCTGCTTGCAAACAACTTCGAGACTGAAATTCAATCAGCTGTTAGAAAGAAAGAATTTATTATAACTTCCTTCTTCCATGTGTAGATGCTGCTCAACAGCATATGTTTTCCAGCCCTGTGGTACACT